GAAAGGAGAAAGGAGAAGAAATAATGAGAAAACTACATCCTGGCCAGGATAACTCTCAGATACACCCAACAGATCCTACAGATGCCCTGACTCAGTTTCCAAATGAAACATCCATCTTGACCTCTCCAATGAGTACTTCCATGCCCAGGAGAAATTCACATCGTCAGCCTTGTATTTAAAAAAAAAAAAAAAGCCATGGAGAATTCTGTTTTGCACCTGAAATTAATCCCAGTCTTTCAATGTTTTGCAGAAAATCACTCTTTTTCTTGTTCTGTCTTTTGTTAGGGAATTACATTCAGATGAATGCACTGTTTCCATCATTTTTTCTGGGTGATGTTCGCCACAGTGCTTTCTATGAAGTCAGCCTGTTCCACTCCCAGTTTCCTCCCAGTAACTCATGCCAGGGTAGCAAAACTAAGTTTTTCAGGCTTCTTCGATAAAACCTAGAGTATTCTAGATACCACCTGTGGTGTACCCAGTAGCTGGGTAATGAAAGTGATGTAATGGCTTAAAAGAGAGAAAAATGGCTCATTTCCTACCAAGAATGGAATTACACACTATGGGAAATTGGGCTCATTTTCTGTCCTTGTGTGTTCTTCCCCAATGTTAACATTTTTGTGGAGAAAAATATATATACTTTTTTTTCTCATTTAATATTTTAGTTTTCTCAGGGATTTGGAAGGCATAATGGAGATGTACCAGGTGCTCCATGCAGTCATTGTCACTGCGTAAACTCTAAATGGAAAGGTGTTACACTTTTCATTCCGGTACCAGGGCCCAATTTAAGGAGTCCACGTACAGGGTGAATGAAAAGGACAGGCAGCTAAGGGCAGTCATTTCCCAGAGCGGAGATGTCAGTCACGGGTCCTCACCCACCACCACACCCGCCAGGGCTCAGCCCAGGTGACCATGGACTACGAGGGGCAGCCCAACACTGATTGACTCCACAATCAGTCTTCTGCCAGGTAAGCATCCTAAAATGTATTTGTCTCTAGGCACCGCCACATTGCTCCTACTAGCCTTGTTTATAATAATGAATCATTATAAGCAACCTAAACGTCCAATACTTAGGAAATAGTTAACTGAATTATGAGACATCCACTTGATAGCATGGGATGGATTCTAGATTATCAGTGATCGCATTGCTATTGCAATCCTTAAGAAAGACTAAAAGGACATCCCTCCAGCAGGTAAGAACTTTGTGTTAGAGTAATGAGATCAGTGGTCATTTTTTTTTCCCCAAACTTACTCTATAGTCATATTGATAAATATATGTGTTCAGTAGCAAGTTGTTTACACCAGAAATTGACACAACATTGTAAACTGACTATACTTCAATTTAAAAAAGAACAAAAATAGCAACTTCTTGCTATTTATGAAATTAAGGCTATTAAACAGGTTGTAATGACCTCTCGCTATTATATTATTACAACTTGTGACAGAATTACACCATTAAGTCTGACTAAAAAAATAAGCCAGACGCCAAGAGGTATATGCAGGTCACCAAAACTAAGTACAGGAGAAATGAAAAGAAAAAAGAAGGGTAAGTGGAGTTCAGAAGCTGGGCCTCACCAAATGTATCTCTAAACATAATGAGGTAGGAACAAAGGAAACAAAACAAACAGAAGTTGGCAGGTGTAGTAGGCTGAGTAACGGCCCCCAACGAATTCAGATCTTAATTCATGGAACTGTGAATTCTCCCTTCTATGGGAAAAGCATGTTTGCAAGTGGGATTAAGCTAAGGATCTTGGGGTGGGAAGACATTGCTAGATGAGACCTAACTGTACTGACAAGTGTCCTCATGTGAGGGAACTGGTGGTGACACGTGGAAGAGGAAGAGGCGAGGTGACCACAGAAGCAGAGATTGGAGGGACAAGCCATGGGAGGCCGGCAGCCCCCGAGTCTGGCAGAAGCAAGAAATGAATTCTCAACAGCCCCCTCGAAGGAGTGCAGCCCCACCCCAAATCCCCACTGCGATTTTGTCCCAAGGATGCCCGTTTCAGACTCCTGGCCTCCTGAGGAGAGGCTATGGGAGAGGAAACATCTGCTGTTTAAGCCATCAAGTTCATGGTAATTGGTTACAGCAGCCACGGGAAACTCGTACCACCGGCAGCTAGAGATCAGCAGAGTTCCAGATGTTGGCAGAGGCAGCAAATGAAGAAAACTAGAAAACCCGCTCAGAGAAGCCAGGCAGAGCCCGGTACTCAGTGGTCTTTGTACCCAAACTCAAGGCCCAGGCCTGAAGACACGACTCGGTTCATCTTCCCGAGGTGACCCTTGGCAGGTAGCTTTAACATATACCATGTCATGGGGGTGGGTACGGCTCAGTGGTAGAGCGCATGGTTAGCATGCACGAGGTCCTGGGTTCAATCCCCAGTTCCTCCATCTAAATAAATAAATAAACATAATTACCTCACCCCCC